CCCTCTTTTTGTTCCTCTCGGATTACTACGAGGCAAGTCGTGTTGGCTGTATTGTTTTTCCAATCTTACCCGTGTTCACCCGAGGTTTAGCTCGATGTCACGTCGTTGATTCGCCGATAAGTGAGTGACCCATGTGTGTGTTATCCTTTTTTTTTCTTTCGAAGATGAGATCGTGGGTCGTTGGCGGGTTCTCTGGTGTGGTTTGCTCCTTCTTTCCTGTCTTACATCCATCGTCCTCGTCTCTCCCCTTTTTTGTGGTGGGTGTCACTCTTTTGGTAACACCTCTAAACTTCGGGTTTTATATTATGATCTAAGTGTGTTGCAAGTGCCGTGAAACTCTTACGGAAACAAATAAAACAACGATGAGCTCTCTGTACTCGTGTACGATCGTGTTGTGTTCGTTGTTTGCACCTTGATCACGAAAACGTTTTGGCCGAGAGAAGTTACATTTTTCGCGCGCAAACTTAGTTGCAATGCAGGCTTTCCTCGATTCCAGAGCAATTAACAACATAGGCAAACACGCGAGGGGGGTTGGGGTCGAAGAAAAGGTTCGATGAAACTCAAAACTGAAAGCACAGTGGAGCTTTGCCACTCGGATTCTGGGAACCCAGGTGTGAAAGGGTTGGGGGTTATGGTAATGACAGGTGTGGCTTTGCCTGTAGAGAGCAGCAGCGGGGCGGCGGGCGGTGGCAGGGTGTGAGTGAGCAGGAACGAGCCTGTGGAGGCGATTGGCCGCGCCCGGCATCATGAGCAGTGGCCGTGCCAGCGTGGCGGAACCATGTTCGCTGTGGCAACGCGCACGCTGCAGGCGCTATCGCGCCCCTACCTGGCACGCGCTCATTGGCTGTTGCTTAGCAACGTGTCTGTCAACAAGATGGCAGCGAACTTGTGCGGGCAGGTAGGAAAAGGAGCAGCTCAGGTATGGACGTGGTTTTTCTCCCGCCCCCAACACCCGCCCGTCCACCCTCTTCTATTTCCCTTACATCCACGCCCTGTTTCTATCCCCCCACCCCCTCCCCCGCCACCACCCCCTTTGACTGTGCGCTTGCCGCGGAACCTTAGTTGCGAGTACAAGACATTTCCCCCGGCATCACAGGCTTCAGTCTGAGACGACACAGCTTTATAAGAGCACGGTTTTGTCTCTTCTTCCACACCGTCTGACAAAGTAAGGAAAAGTCGGAGGTAGAGACTTCGCTTGGTTTTTTTCTTCTCCCCATTCGTCATATTCATTACCAAGTCTCAGATTGTGTTCTGATCGCGTGATAACAGGGAAGCGGCTTCACAGTTGCGAAATGCGATTTCATGCAGACAGTCTTCCCTTGGATGTTACCGGCTCAGAGATGCAGGAGAAATGCGGGCCTGGCATGTTGGAAATGTCAAAGTGCGTGCATGGGGCGAGGTCGGCCTGGCGTCTCTTTGGTGATGAGCGGAACACATGGAAGGCTTCTTACCTGTGTGTTGTCGCACGGACGGCAGCGGGCCGGAAGAGACAATTACTGTGGTCGTCCCGTGCTGCACGCTTAGCGGTGCGTCGACTGCTAAGAATTCTACAAGGACCTCGAAGCCTGTCGTGATAGGGATCGCCGTCTGTGATTACAGTCCGAACCGTGAAGTCTTGGGGTGATGCAAGGACCTTGCCGATGTTCAACTCCGAAATAACCGTCTGTTCCTGCGTCGTACATTGGGATGGGCGGCGCCCGGACAACTTTGTCAACCGTGTGCTGTGGCCGCCTTTGGGTAGACAGGTAAGAAAGCGGATTAGTCTAGACCCACGATGTATATGTATTATGTTAGACCATGCGTAGTAGTATTGGTTGTGCAATTTCTCCTTGCACTGATTCACCTTGCATCTATGGGGAAATTTTAACACAACGTTGTTTGCGATTAGACTTCTCTTACGTGGTTGAAAATTGTGAGAGGATGGTTTGTATATGGAAAGTAAGGAAGTACTTTAAACGTTTACGGGAATCGTATTCTTGATGCGTTTTTGATACCGGCACGATCGCTAAAATAGCGTTCCACGAGGCTGCACCTGAATTCTCTCTTTCTACCCCTCCCTCCTCACCCACTCCTTTCTCCCTCCCCCATTCCCTCTCATACGTGTATGCACGCACACACAAACTCTCTTTGCCAGCACACAGCACCATGACTCATGACACTAGAACCAAAGATCAGAGTGCTTCTGGTTGTTACTATGTGTCGACTGCTTAATAATTTAAGTGCGCTTAATTTTTTTTTCTTTTTCTTTTTCTTTTTTTTTCCCTCTCGGCCAAACAATAAAGGCTGGCTGAGGATACAATTACTCTTTGTTGGCGCGACTGAAAGGCTTTCATCTTTGAAACTTGCTTCCCACGAACAGTCTCCACTTCTTGAACGACGCTTTTTGACTCACGTGTTGTGTTCACTGTCCCTATCTGCCCGCAAACTTCATAGCTATATTAGCAGCTGGTTATGAAGTTTTAGTTTTTTCTCTTATCGTCCCTGGAAAAAAAAGAGATAGAAGAGAAATGGGGGTGGGGAGGTACTTAAAAAACTTTGTTGTTGTTGTGGTGGTGGTTTGCATTGCTCCACCACTGTTGGACACATGCTTGTTTTCTATATTTGCGCTACCCCCCCCCTCCTCCCCGTTTTTTTTTCTTACGACTCATTGGTTGA